ATCCCAGCAAAATGTAATCAATCCCGTTTTATGTGGATCGAGAGTGACTCTTTTTGCCCCCCCCCCCCTGTATATGTGCGATTCTGAACGGAGGTCAAGCACATGGCTTATCCCAGGAACCCATTGATCTCCCAAGCACTTGACCCCTCAGCAGAAGAAAAGTAAAAGAGTAAGGCGCTTTAGACAAGTGGTAACTACTCCTGTTAGGGGTGGGTACCTTCTACCTTCTACCTTCTACCACTGACCTTATGCTACCCAAGAGCTTGCATGAGCGGAGTACAAATAGACCGACATAAATGTTATACATGCATACCGACATACCGATGAACCGATGCACCAAAGTCGCGGCCATGAAATAGAATGACTAATTTAAAAATGAACATCTCAGAGTAACGGAAAGGGCTCGAAATGCAAGGGCCCGTCGCAAGACTAGCACATATGCGAAACAAAACCACTTTGTATTACACAATGCTTTCTCTTTCTCTCATATCAACTACGACTACTGCTCTGAACGGATTCTAATTAACCCTGGTCGATAAACCGGTGGTCCTCTCCGAAACGCGCCTCACATTCGTTTCCCTGACGTACTTCGAAAACCTCCTCGTAAATATGCGGTATATTGAATAGAATGGCCTTATATAGGTCAACATTTCTATCCTTCACAAATAAGCTTAACACCAGCTCACCACCTACTTTCGGGGAAGAAGAGCGCTCTATTGTTCTAGACGAAATTCGATTTCGAATTGGAGCAGGGGCCGCGCTCATCGTAGGAGGGGAGGGAGCAGGGTCAATTCTATGTTGCGACAAGTACCAACGGGAAGGGGGTCGTATTTTGTTGAGTTTGTAGGTGGGGGTCGTATTCGATGTATTAAATTTATGGGTTAGTTTTAGGGCGCGTAGTGTGAAGGAGCGGGAAAAATTTTGCTACCCCCCCCCCCTCGACGGCTGTTTTGGAGGGAAAAGTGGGTGGAGTTAGGTGTGTCGACTGGTCTCAGAATTAAATACTATAGAAACAGCGACCATGATGGCGAGGGTGGTGAAGGGGGGTCGTGAAATTTTTGATTGGAAGGGAGGTCGTGAAAAATTTCTGAAAATGCCGAGGTTCTTGCAAAGCCGTACATTTTGATTTCTGAAAAGTCGCAACGGCACCAACCCTGGGCGAGAGGTGGGAAACTTACTGTCACAGGCACCACATCCCACAACGCCACTTTCTCTGTGGGTTGTGCACTCGCGAGGGAAAGCGCGAAGGAGCACGTCGTACGGGAGGGCACAGACGTCACTTATGCTTGGTATAAAAAAATGACAGCGGTTGCAGCGGTAATGGGAAGGCGTTCGAGCTTTTGTGGCGCACTTTCGAGTTGCAACGATGCTTCGATTTCTGCGCTAAGGGGCCCTGTTACCAAACTCAAGTGCCTTTTAATATCAGCACTGATTATGCGATCATGTATTTTCATTGGGGTCGGAGAAATAAATTTAGGAACCCAAAGCATTTAACAAGGTACATAATCATTTTTTATTCTTGGCAGTGATTCAAATTATCCCTATGGGGGTGTAACAGCGAGAAAATGAAGCAGGTTTACAAAAGAAAAAAGGAGAGGAAAAGGTGAAGGGTTGTCCTGCATACATGATGAACGAACCCTTTCCTGTGGATTATCCACCGCGGCGCGGATTTGGATTATCAATAACAAGAATCAAATTTGTGACTCGTAATATGACTAACCATAAGTTTTATTGCATTTATACATTTAGGATCCTGAAGAGGGCAAGTAGATCGAACTGTTGAACCATCTTCGCAGAAACAACTCAGATTAGTTCATTGAACTGGAGCCATAAGGGGGATGGGGAGGGGAGGGGGATTGGCAAGTGTACGGGTCGTATCGGCATCACAATATTATTAAATACGCGCCTTCAAGGATTGTACTCGATAGGGAGATTCTTTCTTCGGACCATACCATCACCTTGGAACCATTCACGACGGAATTGCTTGGCAGCTCCGTCAGGAGTGTTGCACCATTCGACAGTAATACGGTCGTTGTTGGTGTCCTCACGTCCGTAGTCGAACACATCACAGGAGACAGCCATAAGGGTGGCCTCCTTGGGGTCGAGCACACCACAGGCAGGATCCACACCAAGTCTCTTCATGTTGGTGGTCTTGATGGCCCATCCAATACGACGGCCGGAAGCGTTGATGATCTTGATGTGGTAGGTGTGCTTGTCGTCGTACGGCGCGTTGAAGACGATCTTCGAGTTGGGCTGAGTGTTGATATCGCCAGGAGGAACGCTGGCCATTCTGGTTCAACTGCTGTACGAAAGCTCAGCAAGCTTTTCATATTGTGATGCCGATACGACCCGTACACTGAAGCGTTAGGTTGCGCACAGGATACCGCCCACGGGGTTCCGCCCTGCACCCGGAGTATCAGCCTCGAACTGACCTCACCGGCTCGCTTGCATCCGTGCTCTCTCTCGTCTCCGATTCTTTTCCTTCTGCGGCCCTCAGTATCTTATCTCGCTGCCTCTCTTGGAACACTCCAAAGACTGACTAGATTGAACAGGCCTCTGTTTTGGGTCGATGATTTTACTCCTTTTTCTTTCTTCGATCCACCTCTAATTTCATTTCCGAGCGAAATGACCATACCAGCTTGCTCCGTGGGCCTTCAACTGGTGAATTTCTCTTCAATTTGAAACATTCTAAAAATTCCCGCTCGAGGATTCTGCATCATTGTTTGTTATCGTTCGCGTTTTTGAACTACCGTTGTTCAACTTTTTATAACTCTGACAACAACTCGGCAAGGTGGGCTCAAAAATCGTCTGCGCATGGCCAGCGATGATTCCCTGACGACTCCACGTCCAGCGGGGCGGGCCCTGTGGTATAAGGAAAATAGAGCCTACAACCTGTTAACTTGTGCTTTAGCCGCAGAGGCGTAATTCGCTCTTTCTGAGCTCGTCACCGTCATTCTACTGAAGCTCCGCAAGATGCTATTAAAGGAAGGGAGTTCAACCGGAAAGGCTGATCATCTTGCTCTTTCCGGTTGAACTCTTGTTTCCTTTACCTGCGTCTTCATAGGCAGCTTTCAAATTACCGGCCGTCATCTTATGCAGAATAGAATCCAGGCATCGGTCACGAAAATATTGGTTAGAACCAAGGCCAAAAGTTCGTCGAGAATTTCTCAACGAACGAATCCACAGAGAACTCAGGAGGGGGTTTGCGTGATAGAGAAATTAATGTAGTTGTTAGAGGACATGGGAAATACCCTCTCTCTCCTTAATGCCCTTATCGGCGAACTTTTTGAGAAAGATTCAGTAAGGCTGGTGTCAGAGTTCGCAAGTCATCGCGCGATCTCGCGAATCGCACAAATCGTAAATGCCTATCAATGACTGCAGAGTGTTGCTCTATACCGCGCCGCTTTCTGCTGATAGTGATGATTTGATTTCACGTTCAACAGTCCAATTTTTCAACAAATTTTCGTAATCATATAATTACGCATCCTGCCTTTTTTTCGGGCTGCGGGACAGCTTACGGCGGCGGCGCGACGATTTGTTAACCGTCTCCTCTGAAAGGCTTAATGCCTCATGGCGCGCATCTGATGCGTTAGACGTGAATGGTGAAATAGTGACCGCCCCTGGACAAGCCTTTAGGGAGCAGACGGAACGGAAGCGCCGCTCCCGCCTGGTCCACCCGTCAGGGTCAACCGTCACGTTGGACCGACATTGGACCGACGTTGACCGCTCTCCGCGCCGGCATTCGCACTCGCCTTGCGCGAGCCGTCTGTGTCTCCGTGCGTACGTTCACTCTCGGCATTACTCTCACACGCTAGAGAGCCATGCGTTGGACTTTGTCCAACGGACGGTTGACCCTGGTCCCCCAACTAAGTCGCACCGTTTCTTCTTCCACCAGGATTGATCATTCATCCTGATGCCGTAGACGTATATTCTCATAAGGTGCATATATCGCACTTGCATGGCTTCTCTCAAAAACGACTTGGCAGCGCCTTGATTTTTGCCGATTCCACCACAGTACTGGCATTTTAACATCACTAGTTGTCCATGACGAAATCTTGCCGTAGTCCGCGTATAAGAACCTGAAAACTGCTTGAAGGACATCAGCGATATCCGCAGTATTGGTCGGTGTACTTGCGATTTTTGCGATTCGCTCTATGAATCGCGGACTATGACACCAACTTTATGTCCCACAAGTGGCCATTGGCGGGTGACAACTACCCTCGCCTTCAAATGACCAGAAATTGTGCAGAAATTGACGTGGCATTGGCACACGTGGCTAAATTCTCGATGAAAAGGTGACATCACGTGTGCTCAAAGATGTTCTTGAATCGATGCCACGTTAATGCCACGTCAATTTCTGCAATTGCACAATTTCTGGTCATTTGAAGGCGAGGGTATAATCAGTCGCCAGAACTGTCGTGGAAATGAGGTCAAAACGGGTAGTGTGAAAATGTACTCCAAGGGTGAGTGAGAGTGGAGGTTTTTGGAGTTGGCTGACTCTAAAATTCTCACTACGCCCTGGTTTAGCTAAGTTGGAACGTCGTTTTTGGTGGCATGGTAACACCTGCTCTCTAAAGTTACTCTAACAGTGAATAAATTCTCAACTGACATCCTTCTTCTACCTTCTGCAGCGATGAACCTGAGCTTCCCCGAAAAAAAAAATCGTCGCGCTGCGGAAAGCGGAAAAGTCACTTTCTGCCCTAGAGGACCAAACCCCAGGACTTGCTGAAAGTACCAACAAGCTCTTCAAGGCCTCAATTACAATCCGCTTTTATAACAGTTCTATTACGCCTACCACGATTCCGTTATGCATGTTTAACCCTGGAAAGGGCATATCGGGCAATGAGTTCAGGAACTAGGATGTTTGAAAGAGAGTTCTTTCTTTCAGCCTAATCTGGTAAGGATTCATCGTTTCGGGGAAAATGGAGGACATAATCCTGAGGCTATTTCTATTCTTCACCTTCTTTGATACTATGCTAGGGTAACGCTGAGGGAGACAGGGATCTGCCATGCTTGGGCTCACCGGTTAACACTAGGTCCACATTGAAACCGTGTCCCCCTCTAGGCTGAGATAGGACAGCGTGCGGGAAGAAAGGCGCGTCCTGCGGGGAAAATAGGCCTCTGGAGAGGATCTACCTACCTTAGAGAGTATCAGCACTTGGAGCTCCTGGGTTTATTTAAAGGGGAGGGGCATCATGATGCAGTTTCTCGGCGAACTAGTGTGAACTCGAACATTCCAGCTTTTCACGCATGTCAAGTGACTGCCCTCACCCCCGTAGACTGGCTACACTCCCCCTGGCTCGGAGTTACCCTAGCTTTCTGGGAAAACTGCATCATGATGCCCCCTAACTGAGTTAGGCCCGAGCTCCTTTTTCACCATGGCTTGAGAGATCGAGAGCAGCACAGGTAGTCGGAAGGCAGTTCCACTCACTATTGTTCTGAATAGAATGATTCTCAAGGTTTTGCCCGTTTTTCAAACCTGCTTCCTTTTCCCAAACCGATGTTAACCACTCTAGTCACGCACCCATGCCACACCATATGGATTTCTTAAAGAGATGACCGCTGGGCGCCAAAGTCCTAAGGGGCTGGGTCTTAAGGGCGGAGAAAAGTCATGAAAATTACCAGAAACTTCTGCCTTCTAAAGACACCACTATCATCTTAGTGTTTAACAACGGTACTCAAAAAACGGGATGGCCCCAGCGAGTCCAGAACCCTTCCTTAACATACTCGCTTCAGCAAATACTGCATGTCATGAGGCCCTCCTTCACCTACTACCTTTCCAACCCATCATCTCTTGTGCAAATAAAAGATATAATCCTCTGCACCCGACGAGAACCAACGGCCGTTCTGCCCTAATGATGATGTTCTCAAACGATTGCGCGCCCTACGTGGTCCTTTAAATTGCGTCACTGAAAACTTTGCGAAGCTTTGTTCTCGAAGGTGTTTTTGCGGCATTTTTTCCTCGTTTACTAATTTTGAATTTATCTTTGCGTCGTCGTTGCTCGCTCGTGGCAATGTAAATTCTTCAACTTATGGACTGTAGTGAGTGTTTACTAGACAGTTTATTTTTTTTCGTCACTCAAGGGCTGTATAAGATCCTTCTCCAAGTTAGAGGAACAAATCCCTCTAAATTTTCTTCGTCTTTTCAACAAGAATCATCCTACGAAGGGGTAGTTGAAATTTATGTGTTGGCAGTAAATATGTGCGAAGAGGCAAAGGAACTTGTGCTCGTGAGACCAAATAAATTCAACGATCTTTTCCTCCTGCTTGGTTCTGAGGTAGAGATATGAATACGCTTAACCCATAACGGACGGCGTGCGCCACAAGGTGGCGCACGACTATTTCTTTTGTTTTTGGAATGTTTCTAGCAATCTTAATATACCCATATATACTCTCAGCAATGTGGAATAACATATCTTCCCAGGACCTGGACGGCTGGATTTTTGACAAACCTACAATAAATTTTACATACATTTTGTCTTAATTTACATAAGTTTACTATTTGATGGGTGGCTTACCCATGGTTCGCACGTCCCGAGACCCCTTCCCCTAAATATAGCCACATCCTTGCTCGGGGTTGTTGTTTCGCATTTTTCGATAATGTCACCTACAGCTTCCATTCATTCTTTGCACCCTAGTTTTAGAGCGGAAAGGCGGGCTACGAACTTGTCGTCAACGGAAATCTCTTTTTTCGGATGATGAGACTCCGACACCTACTTTAGCCCCGTCTTACCCCTGCTGTTCACATAAGCCTACATAAACCCTACCCTGGGTGGCGGCGTGCGCCACATGGTGGCGCACGCAACAAATACACTGGCCGTCCGTTATGGGTTAAATTGGTCTGTTGGTAGGTAGACAGTACAATGTCTTCCCTCGATGAGTTATAGCTGTCCAGAAAGTATTTCTGGATGGTAACAATAATCCAAAAACTGCGCTGTGCTAAATCGTGTTTCTTTATCGTGGAGACCGATAACCCATCACTGACTGCTTTGTGAGAGAAGTGCTTTGGATTCTCATTGACTTTAACGATGTTGTACAACTGTGCAGAACTTTTTATAACTTTTTTACTAGGGATGTTCTCGCCAAAAGTATATACAGAATGGAAGAATCCGGCTCCCCCACTTTCTTCACGATTTGGGGCGCGGCCGCGGCAACCCGGCCGAGTCGATAGTGCCCGCGAACTGTGTGGGTAAATTTGAAAACGCATCACCACCACAGTTCGCGGGCACTATCGACTCGTCCGCGCTCGCCGCGGCCGCGCCCCAAATCGTGAAGAAAGTGGGGGAGCCGAAAGAACCGCTGCGGTTCATTAGCGAAGGAGCGACTTTTTCCGGTTTTCGCGGTCAGGAAACTTGGTCCCATCGCCGACTATGAGTTGGTTTGAACGTTCCCGCAGAGAAAAATTTTCGCGCAACAAAAACGCGAAAAGTCGCTTCTCTTGTCGTTGGTGAACAACCACGACAGTAATCCGGTGGAAAGGATTTTGGCATTTTCAATTGTCACAGTGGAAAATGAATCCATATAGACCAAGCTATGGGTTCAAGCCGGACAAATTATTTTAATTATCTATCGTAATTCGTTCTTTCCTTATTTCCCAACTTCGCTCTTTTTCGAAAATTGTTATACGATATCTTTTCCACTTCGCAAATTTTCTGCTTCTTCCAAAACGCTGGGGATGAACGAGAAACGTGGTACTAATTTTCCGAATTTTTTTAGCAATGCATCTTTCAGATGAAGTCTGTTGCTGTGCTTCGCTCCGTCTCACGACTTGCGGTAAAGGCGATATGAGGATGAATGTTGCTTGTCATCTTCCAGTTCGTGCCTTATCAACTTCGCAGAGGGGTAAGCTTCGACTTATTCAGTTATTCAACCGCCGACTTCAATGTTGATCAGGTATTTGTTGCGGATACTGATCATTTTTTCAGCATTCAATGTCGCTCCGGAACTGGCTCAAGCACTGACGAGGGAAATCGAGGCCGAGCAGCAGTTGTCCCAGGAAAATCTCGGTGGATCGCCGCACCTTCATTCCAAGGTTTCAAGCTCACAACTAAAGAAGCCGAGGTGCGCCTAACAAAGGAACACGGGAAAGAAAGGTTGCTTCTGCAGATCTGTAGATTTGGCTGCAATTTCTTCATGCGGTTTGTGAGCTGTGTCCCGAAGCTCTAATATAGAATCCCTCAGTATCTGTAACTGTCTTCAACGTTATCGCAAACTTGGGTGTAGATATGGATGAAGGGTTCGACGATGAAGCTCAGCCTGAGGTTCGTTCTGCCAATGCGAGTCAAGTCTCTATAGTGTGCATGTATTTAACTGTACCTCCTTGTCTTATTTCAAGAGAGCGCTCTTTTGTATAATCCTTGCGAAAATGTGTCTCAAGCAAACAAGTTGCTTGAACTTTTTTTGCATCACTCGAACGGTTTTGCATACATTGGTTGGGAAGAATAAAGTTTGTTAGTTTGGACGAAATTGAAGATTCTAATTCAGTTCTCCTTCCCATGATTCAACTTTCTATGAAGTGACCGCAGCTTGAGTTTGCAGTCGCACAATCAGAGCTATTGTCCGATCGCACAATCTTGTGGATAGATGCGTATAGACTATGCGTGCCAATTGCGAATCGAATTGTCGGGTGATAATACTTTTTCTGTCCACTATTAAGCTGTAAGATTGGTCCACGGCTGTCTCAATAACGTCTACAGTTTATGAAAAGAGCTAAAGGAGTAGGCATTTATTTAGCTCCATCTCTGTGTGTAATTTGCTAAATCAACAAATAAGCGAAAATGTATTAAAAAACCAGTAACAGTGAACGTGCTTGCAAAACGCAACTAATTTGTGTCTTTCATTGTCACTACCGATACTATTCTTCTTTGAGGATGCATCTATGTATCCATTCTCAGATCTGTCTTTACGTATCTCATACTACAATACGTTTCGAGTTGATAGCGCTCAAGTTTCAGGCTGCTCCAGTGCCTGTTGCGTTGCCACCATTCACTGTCGAGATCACAAAAGGAAATGAACGGCTATGTTTCCATTTGGAACTGGTTGAAAGTGTTGACGTCCAGGGCGAATGTACGTAAACAAATATTATTAACATCCTGCACTCGCTGATAACCAAAGCGAATTAACATCGGAAACGGACAGTGATCGATAATATTCTTTACAGATGATTTTCGAGTAGAGGAGTTTTACGTGGCGCCAGCGGTCAAGGACGGTAACGAAGATGTAGCTGCAGAGGTCTATGCTAGCAGTGGAAAATACATCGACCCTGTGAGTTTGAAGTTGAATTTGTACAAAGAATCCTAGGATATTTATTGTATTACACAACCTAATAGTTCAAAAAGGTCTCTAAAAAACTTTGTTTTAGAAGGATGATTCAATATTCCCAAAATATTAACAATTTTATCTGTAGTCCAAACATGTATTTTGCATCACCTTGATGCATTTATCTGCTTGTTTTCAAATTCAGCTGCAAACTTTGTTATGGAGGGGTATTGAGTACCCATTGGAACCATGAACATTAATTTGAGCGCAGTACCGCCTGGCGCCTGGAGAAGCGTGGCAAAGGGCTATAACCACATTTAGTGAATCAAATCATGTTAGTCTAGAGTATTCTCTCGTAAGCGCGTTAACTTCACGCAACTTCTCCACGCTCTTGAAGACAATACGGATAAGCAAGGCCTAAGCGCCATTCGCGTTAGCGACCCTTGCGATTTTGCGCCTATGTTAGCGTCTTACACCAGCCCTCAGGATCGATTGTCGCCGATGCCTAGGTGACTTATCTTCTCAGCACTAAATGTTCGTTCGACAAGCGTGTGAATGATGACGCTTTTGTTACAGTGGAATTCAAGCAGATGCCAAGCGGCCACGGGCGGAGTCCACGAATTAGTCGCTTTTACGATTGTGCAATCACCGCACCTGACACCTACCTATCTCTGTATAGGATACTCACTGAGCCCATTGCACAAGATGCTGTAGTCGCACGTGGAGGTGGAGTGGTAATCCGATACCAACTGGTTAACACCCAGAAATTGAGTCAAGCTTAATATGCAAGATGAGTTAGTTCCAACCCTTTCAACAGCTAACTTTGCATGGTAATTGGTCAAGGCGGATGGTGTAGCGTATCTAGGAAAAAGTCAATCGGGACAAAACTAGTTTAGAAATGACTGGCAAAGTTTTATGCACATAGCGCGTTAACCGCTGCTCTTATTGTTGCATAATGGTTTTGTTGGCACTTTGGAGTGAGTCTATGTGGTACTCGGGAGGAATAGTGGTCTGGAAAATCATTATTGGCTTGTCCGCCTAGATAAAAATTAAGAAGTGTTATAGCAGAACTTAGATCATCATCTTTCTTATTTTTCAGGATTTGCATGATCTGCTATTCGTTCGCTATCTGGAGGAACGTGGTTTCGACGCGCAGTTCTGCAAAACACTGGTCGCCTACGCTACACATTACGAGCACTCTCAATATGTAGGTCTGCTTAACAAGATCAAAGCATTCGTGTCGAAGTAACTCATTTCAAAATGCTCTCATCGCTTCCATATTTGTAAACTTTGTAGTTAGGTGTTGTAGTACATTTGTTCTTATATTTGTTAGGATTTGTCCATGCTATTACTTTTTGTTAAGTACTTGTTACAATCGTTATATCACTAAAACGACGTTTTTGTTGAACATGATAAAATCTGGAATAGATTCAAGGTCCTCATGCATATTTATTACTTTTATAAAAGAAAGAGGTTTCGTATAAAAACTGATAACTAGTGAGTCATCGATGCGCCGTTTTCAATGTTTAGCTAGAATTTGAAGGACAGTCATTGCAAGAAATTGAATTCGATTAAGAAGGCAGCATGGCTGCTCGAAACTCTTCTATATACTTATTCACGCGATCCTTGTACTTAGGACATTTAATCTGAAATGAGGGTTAAGTGGTTGCGCCGTTATTCTTCTGATAGTCCGGATGGCCACTGACCTTTATGTAATCGAGTACACTGAGTATAACGAACACGTACTGTCCTTCTAATTGAATGCATGATGCTCGTTGATTGCGTAATTTCTTAAAAAGGTCCACCAGCTGAAATAACTAAATTAATTTTTTGCGTCCTAAAGAATTTCGGACATTCAAATGCTGTGACATGTGCAGTGTCGGAGTAAGACGCGGTTCAAGTTCGTGTCCTGTCCGACAAGCACAACAACGTAGTCACGTTGGCGAACGCGTTGCAACCGCGCGCGCGATATCCATGTATTGCATTCGACCCCTGGTTCACGATTTTGGATGTGCTCATTCAGTGTCCGCGATCTCGCACTCACAATTTGGTGTGGTTCACTAGGACAGAAAGCGACTTTTTCGCGTTTCGCAGCGCGAAACATTTTTCGCTGCGGGAACCTCGGGTCCACTGATGATCAGCGGTGGACCTGAGGTTCCCGCAGCGAAAAATGTTTCGCGCTGCGAAACGCGGAAAAGTCGCTTTCTGTCCTAGTGAACCACACCTACTCACATCAATTTCCTTACGACTGAATAGTCGTCTGAGAATGACATCGATCAGAATAATTGTGCCAGTTCGGCCAATTCCTGCGGAACAATGCATCACAATGGGACCGTTGTCCAGTTTATCGCCCTAAAACTAATTATTCTTCAGTACAATACTTCCAGGGCCTGGCCGCACAACAAAAGAGGTACTCACACTAACTTGACGTATAACTCGCAGGACATGCCGACCGCTCATCGGGAGGCCACGGTCTGGCCAAGTTGTCATGTGCAACACCTGAAGTCGTTATACAACTTTGGTTGGAAATTTGTCCATGGATGGCTTTGTTATCGGCTGAAAATGAGGGTCCTGGATGCTTCCCCAGTAACGGGGGGGGGGCATTGTGATGCAACACTTGGCGTCGCCCACAGCAATTTCAATTTTTACTGGGGAGAAAATGGTATATGAACCATCCAGTTTTCTTTTTCACACAGATGCAACTGGGAGTTTCCCCCGCGAAATTGGGATTACGTGGGCGGGACGATATCGCACCATCCCCCTTTACTGAAGAAGTGATAACACAGCTCTCCAAACTGGCTCCATATTACGTCATCTTCGCAGATATGTACCCTCTGTTCCAAGAACTAGGTGCGTGTCGAGTGCAGAATGCACACTGCAAATGACGACAGCCTCCAAGTAAATCTTGCTACTAGTGGTTCATAGTTCATAGTTAGTAGATAACCGATAGCTGTGAATGTTAGTTGTAATTAGTGACAACTGATGTACACCTGCTACCGGCTAATCATTTTATTGGCAGAAAACAATTTAACATTTTGTGGAGGCCGCCGTCACTTGTGTTGTGTGATCTGCACTCGACGAACATCTAGTTTCCGGAAACAGAGTCACGTGCACTTCGTGCGATACGCACTTTTGTTCTTAATGAAACGGTGCTAACAGAGTGATCCAGATTTACCTTCACTATGTTTGAATTCGAGAAGCCATCCGGTAAAACCTCCACTGTGTAAACCACGAACTTTCCTTCAGATTCAACCTGTAGAACAAATTCGGAACAATTTTTCTAGATACAGAATTAATTATTCATCTATAACTTATTATACAGAATTAACTACTATACAGAATTAGTTAATCTGTGTCTCTTTACAACGTACTTTCTTTGTGTTAACAAACATTTTGCCAAACGTGCGATACTGCCCCGATTCCATAGGCCAATACTGAGAGCATTTCACCTTGCCATCTTCTAGGAACTGTAATTTTATTAGAATAAATGATATCGAATAGATTGACTGGGATTTATCAGTTCCTTCTGAGAAGCACCACGCTCTGGTTCCGATTTCAAACGCGTACTCAGGCGGAGTGTTTGCCGAAAGGATCAGGGAATGATTCAGGGAAGGGATGCGATGCCCGTCTTGGCAGAATAATGCTCTTTGGAACCAAAACAATTATTGGCCGATGTCAGACTTTGCGAATCGCGCGTCGCGTTGCGGTAACCAGCCAATTGAGTGATTCACTGGCCGCGACGCGACCGCAGACGCTAGCGAATCGCGCAATTCGCAAAGTCTGACATCGGCCTTAAGACGCTGGTCGCTCCGCCCATTATGGTTTTGTCGGATCATCTGCGTCGTCTCGTTGATCTTTATGCTCTCTCGTCTCGGAGGATGCTTAATTTTCGTGACGTCGACGTCTCTCATTTCGCTGTCTAATCCTTATTCTCTTGCACACACACGATCTCGAGGTTTTGTGTTTTTGACAGTCCTCGCCATTTTTTACCTAGTGGTCCAATTCATGCTCCTGCTATCATTACCGGGTGCTACTGAACCCGCACCACTGCTTGACCCTGGTGTGCATTCAAGCCGCCCTCATTTTTTGGTGGTACAGTCATATCCGCAAGACAGCTGAGGCAGGGGCCACATACGTAACTGGCGGGACTACACAAACTTGATAGTCTCGGTTAGCGCAGAAAACTGACATTTTGGGAGGTTCTGTTACAGAACATGTGCAAGTCTTTCTTTTATTCTTCTAACCTAATGTACCCTCGCCTTCAAATAACCAGAAATTGTGCAATTGCAGAAATTGACGTGGCATTGACGTGGCATCGATTCAAGAACATCTTTGAGCACACGTGACGTCACCTTTTCATCGAGAATTTAGCCACGTGTGCCACGTGGATTTCTGGCTGCATGAAACGAGAGTACAAGGAGGGGAGGGGGGCAAAAAAAGAGTCACTCTCACTCACATTCAAAACAGAATTAATTACACTTTGCCAAAACCAAACCGAATGAGCTCAATTGCATATTGAAGAGCACATTCTATTCTATCAAAAAATTACATAGGGCCTTTCTACACCGACGACATCAGAAGATTTTCCCACGGAAACATGGTTCGCGGTACGAGCTCAACGGGGTCGTCGAGAAACCATAGACGATTACGACGTCTCTGAAACGCTGGTCAAAAGCCATTTTGCATAGTCAGAGCTAGTGTCCCTAAGAAGCCATTCACCAGTTATCCGATTGAAGAAATTATGTAGCAGCTTCAGAAGGGGCGATTATGGTGGGCCTCCTCGACGGTGATGACAGATGACGTCATATTCTGGAGACGGTGAACGCAGCGAAGGTGGGCCTGATTCTGCTTATGGGGGGACATCTAAGGAATAATTCGCCGTATAACTCCCAATAACAGCGGCATCCTTTGCGACGAAAAGTTTGATGATATGCGCCATGGGCAAAGTGACTTTTTTTGCCCCCCCCCCCTGTATATACCTCCTCATTGTTCATACTCGAATGGCGGTGAGACCACTACACATTTTCAACTTCTCATTTTGTTTGTTTGGGACGGATGAGCATCCCGTACCACGAGGGGATCTCCGACTGGTATACTAGTAACCATTGTCCTATTGTACTTCGCTTATTAGTTGTACCAATTGCAGCACATGCAGGAGGGCTTTGCGATAAGGTCGAATTCAACGTTGGTGAAATGTTCTAGCCGAAAGGCGAGCGCGCGCTTCTAAAGGGCGGTACTATGCGCGTTTTGCAGCGAAAAATATGCTCCAGCGGCCTGGCTGGCCCTTACTGAGCTGTCACACGCCCCCCCTCTCGCCGTCTAAGACTAAGAGTGTTAGCGCTAAATAGGGCAGTACCGATTGAGAGTCGAACCAATGCGGAAATCACAGGAATTAAGGATATCATTTCTCGGGTTCTCAGCCATTTCTCATGGTTTTTTCTTCATTGGTGCACCACTGACCACCTCTACTTTGATTTTTAATGGGCTGCTTTCCCATCGTGAACCCCGCCTCCGAATGCAAGCAATCCTACTTACTATAAAGCGCTTCGTCTGTCGTCTGTCTGTCTGTCTGTCGTTCTGTATGTCTGTCACGAAATTCCCTAGCTCCTCGGGATCCGCCTGGAGGGACCGGGTCAAGTGTGGGACGGGTGGGCAAGGTCTCACGAAGTACAATTTCGATTTCAGTGACAAAACGACCTCGAAACTGGGCCAAAAAGTGGGTAAAGGTGTGCATTGGTAAGTCACATCGAATTAGGGAGACCCACCCCCGGTGGGCGGGGCGTTCTCCAAAAAAGCAGTGCTTTATGAAAAATTTCATAACTCGGTTGGGAGAAAGCCTACAGAGCAGAAAACAAATTGGTGTAGGGGAGCAATGTCTAAGGTGTTTCCAGCATACATGACGTGGGCGGAGGTCCGCCCACAATGGGCGGAGCGCGCTCTGAAGTGTACAGCGTTTTCTACAAGTCCTCATAATTCGGGCCGGAGAAGTCTTAGTGAGCCGGAAAAAGGTGGATAGAGGTTGGTGAGGAAGTGGAGCCCAACTGCATCGGTCGGGCGGGGGTGAGGGCGTGCACCAAACGTGGGCGGAGAGTTTGCGACGGAAATTCATAACTCGGTTCCAAGAAGTCCTGGAGACCGGGAAAAAGGTGGATAGAGGTGGGTGGAGGAGTGGAGGCCAACTGTCATTGGTGGGCGGGGCATGACCAAAGTGGGCGGAGTTTGCGACGGAAATTCATAAACCGGGGAAAAAAGTGAATACGATTGACTCGGAAGGTTAACTGCTATTGGCGGTGTAGAGCGTAGACACAAATAAAGGCGAGTTTGCGACCGGAAATTCATGACTACGGTTCCGAGATAGTTCGAGACGGGATAAGGGGAGGGTGGAAGTTATTACGGTGAAGTGGAGCCCAACTGCCAATGGTGGGCGGGGCTTGACCAAAGTGGGCGGAGTTTGCGACGAAAATTCATGACTTGGCTCCAAGAAGTCCCTGGAGGCCGCGGAAAAAGGTGGATGAGGTGGGTGGAGGAGTGGAGGCCAGCTGTCAATGGTGGGAGGGACATGACCAAAGTGGGCGGAGTTTGCGACGAAAATTCATATAACTCCATGGCAAAAATGTAGTATAGGAGTTTGACAAACGAAGGGAAGTTAAGTCGGTCTATTGTGCGTGTCCGATAGACCAAAAGGGCGGAGTTTGCGACGAAAATTCATCGACTCGGTTCCGAAGAAGTCTCCAGAGGGTGGGAAAAGGTGGGATGGAGGTGGGTGAAGGAGTGGAGGTCAACTGTCATTGGTGGGCGGGGCCATGACCAAAGTGGGCGGAGTTTGCGACGAAAATTCATAACTCGGTCCAAGAAGTCCCGGAGAGACCGGGGAAAAGGAGGATAGAGGGGGGAAGCGAAGGAGGCAAACCTTTGTGGGCGAGCATTTCTCAAGTTAGGCGGAGTGTCTCCACAAACTTTTTGAACTCACTGCAGGCAAGTGCTGAGACCATTATGTAAGCGAGAGGAGGGAAAGGAGTTTAATTTCTAATGATTGACCTAAGTCGCCTTTCAGAGATAGTTCAGAGATCGGGTAAAAAGTGGGAAGAGGTTGGCGAGGAAGAAAAAGATAGGTGGGACATGCAAAGAAATAGGCGGAGTTTACCGAGGTTCATAAATCGGTCCGGAGGCAGTCCGAGGCCGGGAAAAACGGACAATTGGTTGACGATTACGGACAATTGGTGGAGGAAGGAGGGAAGCTCAAAAGCCATCGGTGGATGAAGCATGGGGCAATCGGATAGAATTCAGCTTGAAAGTCAAGTATTCGAAGTGTATTGGGCCAAATTCGAAAATTCACGCCGCCACCATTCTATATCGCCCGATGCTAGATCTTGGTCGTTGTCAACATCCTGTCGGCGCTAATTGGGTGCTGAAATTACCTTTCGTAAGGTTTACTATATGTGGACAGCCTTCTTGAAAAACCATACGCCAGAAATCCTCGATCGTGTTATCTAATGGAGCCTAAAGGAGAATTTCAGTATTCAGCTAGTGAGGGATTGAATGAAATTGATAACTGTCTGTTTTACGGACCTGAGTAGCGATGAATACTTTATCGTGGCCTTCGAATTTAACCCAGTTCGCGTGGATGTAATCGGTAGCTGGTGGCACGTTCACTGTCAATCGAACCCTTGTATCGTCCAAGCAGACAACGTCCTGAAATGTTTTAGCTGAAATGCTGGAACTTGAAAAGTAGAGGTGTCTGATTATGCTTAGAACACTGAGCAGTACTGCCGGCTTAGTGTTTGGAAGCGTTAGGCCGATGTCAGACTTTGCGAATCGCGCGATTCGCTAGCGTCTGCGGTCGCGTCGCGGCCAGTGAATCACTCATATTGGCTGGTACCGCAACGCGACCGCGACGCTAGCGAAGTCGCGCGATTCGCAAAGTCTGACATCGGCCATTATGAAGTTGATGCTCTTTTGAAAGGTAGCGTTCTCTGGCTGCTGTGCAAGATAGGCGAAGCACTGCGAGGCTCGATACAGCTAAAAGATATTCCTTCGTTTTAAAATTGAGGACAGTGAGCCCCAGCGGGGGAGAGTAGTAGGGCAATTTGTACATTGTCATTCAATAGTTCCGAACCAACTCCTGAGCCGTGGCTTGTCATTGGAAGTGCCGCCGTATCTTGCGAGAGCTGTTTAATTTTCTCCCTAGCTCTTGTGTGACAGTGCGATTTCATGTTCGTAGATCTATCCAGAAAACTCTCGGTAGTGGGGGTACCTAATGACCTTAGTATGCTCTGTACTTTGAATGGGTATTGGTTTCTGGCGAGCTGTGAAATGGGGAGAGGTTGGGGCCACTGGCACCACTTTTCACCTTCCTAATGCAACTGAAGCCTAAATGTCCCTGACAATGAGGGTTGCCCACCCAGCTGACGTGAGAGTATTTAGAAAAGTCGCTTCGAAATGGAATTGGCCTGGTACGAGTATACTATTACGGTGAGGGAGGGAGCGCACGCGAGGGCGTGGGAAGATTTCCGGTGGTCCTATTTTCACTGCTTTTAAATCAGGAACCGGTACGTACACAAGAAAATGAGCATTCGACCACAAGGGCTCTACGAAGGCTGAGCTTGTTTTGCACTTTGAAAATGTCCTAGGGATAATGTGTGAACATCATATATTGATCACTTACACAAAAAGCGAGGTGCGAGAGGGCCATCCAACCACTCGGGGACGGCACAGCGATGGAAGCGATCGCGCATCCGCATCCATCGCTTGTCGCATACGCCCTGTCCGGGGTCGCGGTGAACGGGATCAGCATTGTAATCGATATTTGATGTTTCATAGGCATTACGCTCCACCCATTCTACAATTTACAAACTTCAAGAACGGGTCCAACACCAGAGTCAACCCTGCGTTGCGCAGTTCGCAACGGCACGTTGAGAGATCCTCAACGCACGCTGTATGGGCGGAGACACAGACGGCTCGAGCATGCGAGTGTGAATGTTCGCGCGAGAGAACGTGTCTAATCGGGCGAAACTGCGCAACGTGGCCGTTGAAAACTGCGCAACGCAGGGTTGACTCTGCTCAACCGTTCAGTTCTTTCCACTTACAAAAAAATTTGGCACGACGCCCCCTCGTGGAGATATTTCATACGATCTTCTCCCACCACCATAAGCAATTAGGGCGAGTCCCTCGCGCTGATAATTTGTTAATGAAGAGGGCAAGCCTCTAAATTTGGACCGCTTATATACTTAGCTTTTATACAACTTTTCACCAATTCGAATACAAAAAAAAGTTGTGGAGTCACCCTCTTCACCACCGTAATTTCAGCCAACATCATTATATAAGACAGCTTCCCATTTCCGATCTTTAACTTTCACCAACCCCAGATACGACTCCTTGCGAAAGGACCTTAGAATATGACTCCCTCGTTGAGAACCTGCGCAACGCACAGTTGAGCCTGTCCTTGCTTTTCAAGAAATTAAACCTCCTGGTAAAATCTTTGTGTTTCTTATTTCTCACTGTTTCAGTAGCGCACAAGGCGAGGAAGGAGTACCAGTTTCACGTGTGTGACTCAGGCTCATCAGTAACTCCTACATGGCTTAGTGGGAACGTTGGCATTGGGAAAAAAGCATCAAGGTGTAACTTATGATGGGCTTTGGTGGGTGAACCTTTTGGAAGGTAGAATAGAGCTGTTCTTGCTAAAACCGCTTCCATTTTTCTCACATTCGCAGCATGCTGGTGTCTGCACTCTCTCATCCTTTGTGATCTCTCGTCTATCCTCTCTCCTCCTGCTCAGTCTCTCTTTTCCTCGACACAAAACGAGCAAGCCACCAATTCCATTTACGACCGATTCTTTTCGCTTATTTTCATTACTAGTGGCCTTCTTCGCACCAATGCCTTCATTCTCATATGCAAGAATTGGACCAGCTTGATGCTGGTGCTTAGGCTCAATTTAATGAAGTATTTCTCACCATGTATCTGTTCTTATCTGGATGCGCTTCAAATGCTTTAAATTTATATTTGTCATCTGGTGGTCGATAAGATGCGAGCTCTTCTCTGAACTGTTTTCGAAGTCCTTCTACTCCTTAATATTATTTTTTTGATTTCTGGAATGATGCCAAATCACGCTAACGGTAGGGCGTACCTAATGCTGTGAACGTGTCGACAAATGAGTCGAGATGCTTCTCCACATCGGCGCTCACCTGTGTTCCACCTCCACCACTTCGTCTGCCGTACGTTGGTGCTGCCTAAAATTTGTTTCAATCCATCACAGCTCTTATCAGACGTGTTTGCGTGACAGTGAAGATTCGCAAGTTAGGTGTGGCGCGGCGATGCAGTCGAAAGTACCCTATCCAGCCATATCCAAACTCACACTTGTCTTCTTGTGAGGCTTGGGTTGAAATGCGCCGGAATGAGTTCACTAACACCCTCGTCAGAGTACTGAACCCCGGCGAAGGAATTGCGATCATTTCTTGCCATTCCGCGCCGTTTCACCGTGATAGCATCCATGAAGGCGCTCATGACGTTAGGGGGAAACATTCAAAGCAGAGCCAAGGATAGGTGACACTGGCAAGCCAGCAAAGGGGAGAAACGCCAGGAAGAACACAAATTGCTCACATCATCTCCCAGAATCCCTTCCCTCCCTAAGGCTTGATCCAAGCACAGTAATTGGCTCACTCACTTGGCCTCCCCCCTCTCAACGACATGAGCACCTACATGACTCAAGACATCGCACATTTAGATCAGGGTCAACCGTCCGGTCTCATTTACGAGCCCGAGCGCTATGTTTGAGTGCGATCGCCTACGAGAAAATTGAAGGAATATCGGAATCCGGTGAGCACCCGAACTGAGCGTGCATTATGACGTTCCCGCTGTAGTCACGTACAATGCGCGACGCATTGACGCGCTTGAAGCGTGTGCTCGCCTCCCTCTTCCGTTTTCTTCTGCGCTCTCTCGAACGAGGAGAGAATGCGTCGAAGCAAACTCGCCAACTATAGTGAGGGCGGGTTCCGTGTCGGTGAAGGATGGCAAACGCATGTCAAGCCTTGGCCTCGATAATTGGGGCCGGCCCGGCGACTCGAGGCAGCCATCCTTGGCCCTGCGCGCGATACGAACGCCCCGCGACCTTGTTCCCTTTTGGATGCTACCCCGAAGACCTCATCTCGGGTGCTCACCGTGGTCCAAAGGCTTAAGCCGAAATCGTATTCGCCGGACACGTTCCTATAAAAGTTGTTTTTTTCCTGATTTTGGCAACAACCGTTGGCAAAAGGACACAAGCACATATAGGGGCGGGGGTAGGACTACCGTGCGGTGACCACCTTCTGACGTGGTACGGGGCGTCGCTGTAAATGTGATAGAGCTATGCCAAAATGGAGGGCACTGGTTTGCTCGAACCCCATCTTTTTTGCGTATAATAGGACACACACCGCGTATGCCTTATATCCTTATACCGTATACGCAGGGAGAACAAGGGGAGGCGGCGGGGTGCATGAGCCGTGCAAGGTGCAAAGGTCATTTTCCTGAAGTTCTTGTTCCCTTCTAGCTGGTGCCTACCTCCCCACCCCTCTACCGCCAATGGCTTCAAGTCTTGTGATAATACCGATGGTCTCAGGATTTCTGTCAGCCGTGAGACTGGACAATTCAACGTTTTGTAGTGCTGGGGACCTCTCACATATGCATACTATTACAGCATCTCTACTTTCTTTGTTTCCTACAAAAGTCTTTAGTCATTAATGCCTAAAGTGTATGCTTTTCCATCTATACTCACACTTTTTAGTTGACAGAACCCCTGTAACCAGTGCCGATATGCGTAAGAGGTGAAATTTGCAATGAGCGGTGTATGTCCCGTTGTTCTCATAAACTGATCTGGTTTGCGCAGGGCTTGTGGGGTTCGGAGTGAGCGCTCGGAGCCGATGCCATAATCTACTTTATCTGAAGCACTGGATAGGGCTCTTGAAAATTTTGAGGCACTACCGCAAGGTGCGGAGCTTCCTCTAGAATCGAGCACAGGAGGGGGCAGAAACTCCTGAGAGTGGGAATCGTTTACGCACCCCCACCTAATGGAGCGTTCATCAGTACGATGCCTTTGTGTGTTTGTCTGTCTGTCCGGAAATCCATCAACTTCCCTTTAGCTATCAGAGCGCTGAATATCTCCTATTATATGGGGGCGTAGACAGTTTTATATTTTTCTGTTGTGTTGTTTTTCTTTTTGAGCACAAATGAGAGGGCAGGCCGGAGGTGCTAACCGCGCTAGGAGCCGGAGACCGGGTGAATGGCGAGGTCCACACTCTGTTACGTAGCGCCGTTCGCTTTGACTTCGAGAGTGGCACTCATCGAATGTTATGTGGGCCGGACGTGGACCCAAATGGTGAGCGAGATAAACTGATAGCAAGTGATAAGAGCTGATAATGGGTATCTGAATGCCAACGCCATCAGTTTTGTCAAGCCCTTCGCATTGACAGTAAGACGTTCGCTTTATGAGTTTTATGTGAGTGAGGCCATGGAATAAAGGTGAATGATAGAAAGCGTATAGCAACTGATCAGAATGTTAAGGGCCATCAAGTGTGGAAACCACCAAGTTCGTTGGTGCAGTCGGAGCCTTGACTCTTACCATGTGCTATAGTGGCCGGGAGGGGGACAACCGTGAAGGGATGCAGTATGGACTGATAATAGATGATAAAGAATGATAAGGGCGTCTACATGCAAATTTCCCAAACTTTCGTGCAATTATCACTGGCAAACGATCAATATCAGGTGGTGATGGTAGGTGACAGAAAAAGGTAATTTGCGTCGACTATACTGATAAAAGTAGCGGCAATTGAGTGTGCACTCAGTTAAGGTGAACCAGGTTCTAGCACGCGATTCCTAGCCATCACCAAAAGAAGCAAAGCATTTGGACCAGTGAAGGATTTCCATCAGGACTAGGTTAAATGCCGACACACTTAAGTCCAACGCAAAACTTTAAAAGAAATTTGAAACCGCTATTCATTCGGGCTCGACATCAATGCTAAATGTTTACGAAGTTATGATAAGCACCAGTTTCATTCTGCATGGTTCGCGCGCACTACGCGATATCTTTCTGCGAAATGACCTTTGGGCTCATCTGACGCATCTTCCGAAACATCTTACAATTGCTAGGTCCCGGCCCGTCAACATCGCCGCGACTTACGTCCTGCGTAAGCTTCACGTCTTTGGCTGTGGTCCTTCCCACGGTGTAATAATATAATCTAAAGAGTGAGTATAGAGGGCCTGTTTCCCTCCTGCAATCGGCTCCACCCCCTCCCCTACCCTCCCCTCTTGCTCCTCCGGCTGCCACGGCAGCAGCATATCCTCCCTCCCTTTCTCCTCTCTTCTCTTTCAATCCCTACTTCTCCCTCTCCCCCTCCCCTCTTCCCCCTTCCTCCCCTCCCCTTTCCTCGCCGCGTCCTACCATCCCCATGCGACACAGCAGCACCAATCTAGAATGAGACTGAGTGTGCTAGACCGCTGTGGATGTTATCAGGACGTGACATCAAATCCCGGATTAGTCCTTCAACTCCCGTCTGTTAGCTGGTTGGTCCGACGGCCGCGGACACGGGACAACGGACACGGACGCTGGAACACGGACACGGACACGTGATCACGGACCGAACGACGGACCGGAGACGGACACGGACACGGACACAGACACATACACACCACACGATAGCGGGATCACACCAAATTGGCGTTCATATAATGAAGTGATTAGTTTCTTTAGTCAGGTGACCTTAATATTCTGGCTTGTCGAGTTGCCAGTTCTACCAATACACATGTAATCGCCGCGTTGCGTGAAACTGGTATTTTGTGCCAATTTAGCCGTTTTTTTGGTGGTTGATTATTGTAGATTTGTGAAATGCTCAACACAACAAGCTGTGCAGCTTCTTAACACCACTTGACTGTGGTGGATGCTTAGGAAGTGGACGTGAGGGAAGCAGGAGGTTGGGAGCTCATTCCCGAACTTACTACGTCCTGGCTCCTCATATGTAGCATCAAAATAAAGTCCGACGACGTTGTCGAGTGGTGCGACCTCGTTTGACTTTAGCCGCCATATTAGAGCTGCAACGAGAATATCTTCTTGTCGTGGTGAAAGCTCTCAAGCTCATGGACCTCACCAAGTGTATACAGCTCATCCGACGTCGTTTACTGTTGAAATGAACCTTCACTTCGAAGAACTGGATATTTATATTCAGTTCAATTAGTAATGAAGTCTTGTTTGTCAGGTAAGAACTTTGATGCTCATTATTGCTCCACATCTCTTTCTTATTGTTTCAAATGTATTGCGCATGAAACAACATTCTATATGTAGTTTCGCTTCGAGTAAAGCAATGTGATCGTGTGGAGGATCTGCATTCGTGATTTTAGGATAGGAGTCGTGTTTGATTTTCGTATTGGTGATGTATCAGGGGGTTGCTTGTCTTTTGTTGCGTGGGTTTTTTTAACACTTTGGTGCAAAAACTTAACACTGAAATAGCTAGTTTGGAGCATAGATCATTTCGCTAGATATATGTATACCACCGCTCGGCGGCAGTTTCGGAAGAGAAAATGTGGGGGGGGGGCGTAAATCGTGTCGACTTGCCTCAGGATCAAATCCTGGAATAGCCACGGTGTTGAGCATACCGATGGAGGTAAGAAGAGGTCGTTGTGGGAATATTTCCGATATCGAGGTCTCTTTAGAGCGGTTGAAATTTGAGATCTTGGCCAAACGTCACGATGACGCGCAGGCTTCGTTCTTGGGCGGCACAGGTGTCCGTGATTGCGGATCGGAAGCCCGCTGCATCGCCCTTGGCGAAATTTCGGACCAAGGGCGGTATTCAATCCTTCCCCCAGGGGTTGGAAGATGAAAATCCCTTTAAATTTTCTCTGCCTTACCGACTGGGATTGTTCTGATAAAGGGCTTACGTTTAATGTCCGTATTTATGTCAAAGTAAACATGCTTAGAAAATCGTAATAACTTCTGTTTAACAAACAATAAATTTAAAGGGCGTTTGTTCCGTACCCTCAATCCCTGGTGGAGAGGATGAATATCCGCCTATGATGGGGTTTTTCTTTTCATGCCTTCATGGTGCACACTTGATGTACTTCACATCGTTTGTTTTTTTTTTTTTTCCCACAATCCACTTTTTCTTCTTTTAGGCCCAGTCAGCAATTTGAAGTAATGCCCTATCGCATCGTCACTATCTTGCTTTCGCAGGCGACTTTGGGATCGCCGTTGCTCTAGAAGGTCTGA